ATGAGAAACAAGAGACCAAAAAATGCAGATGAGCTGAAGGCCACTGTCAAAGAAACCTGGGCTTCCATACCACCTCAGCAGTGCCACAAACTGATCACCTCCATGCCACGCCGAATTGAGGCAGTAATTAAAGCAAAAGGAGCCCCTACCAAGTATTGAGTACATGTACAGTAAATGAACATACTTTCCAGAAGGCCACCAATTCACTAAAAATGTTTTTTTTATTGGTCTTCTGAAGTATTCTAATTTGTTGAGATAGTGAATTGGTGGGTTTTTGTTAAATGTGAGCCAAAATCATCACAATTAAAAGAACCAAAGACTTAAACTACTTCAGTCTGTGTGCATTGAATTTATTTAATAAACGAGTTTCACAATTTGAGTTGAATTACTGAAATAAATTAACTTTTCCACGACATTCTAATTTATTGAGATGCACCTGTACATTTATAAGACTTTGGCTTTTTTCCCTTTTTTTTTTTTAATCATAGACACCTTTATATGTCATTGATCCTGAAATGTTTATGAACTCATTAAACTTTTTACTACCTACTGGGTTTACTACCTAAAGGGTGTAAGTAGACATTGTTAAATTATCTCCATTGTTATGCCTGTGTCTCTATAGATTTGCTGGCCAGTCTGAATGGCTTCGTCCAGACTCGAGAGGAAGATTCAGCTATGACCTCATGAGCACACCTGACAAACAAATTGAGGAAGTGGATCTGAATGGCACCCTAATAAACCATAATGGACTTGAAAACCTTGGTAATCAAAGGTTGTTATATATAAATGTACACTTGTTGCATGACCTATCATGCTTCTCCAGATGTTTAAGCCTTTGACCAGTCAAGTATGAAGTCTTTATTTGTCTTTATCCCGCCAAGCCAAATGTTATTCTTGTCCCCATCTTGTCTGTCACAACTCATTTTGTGAGTTCCAAATCAAACCCATACAAAATTATGTTTTTCTGTGCCACTGTGGATTCCATTTTCTAAAACTAAAAATGTAAATAGCTTATTCTGCTATCCTTGGCCTCTCCTGGCTTATTGCTTATAGGAGCGCAAGATGACAACGGTCATTTCTGGGGCATTTTGGCTTAATTTGTCTACAGTGGAGTTAAATAAGAGATGTGTGCCCATCTTTGCGTAGACCACAGAAGCATAGACCAATTTCAGTGTTTGCAAACAGTGATGACATTTTTGTGGGCGGAGTCTACCTGATGGCAGAAATGCCCGTTTTAACGTAGCAGTCTATGCAAGCCATGGAATAAAAGAATATAAAAGGTAAATGTTGAGTTTTTATTAAAAAAATTCTGACTTTTTCTTGCAATTTCGAGATTATATCTCACAATTCTGATAAGAAAAATAAAAATCATTCTCTCTTTTCCCCTCGGCTCAGAATCATGAGATTATATCCCACACTTCTGGCTCGTTTCCCCTCAGAATTGGCAAACTCGCAATTGTTGAGGTAAATCAAGTTATAAAGTCTGAACTAGGTGATTTAAACTTGCATTTTCGAGAAAAAAAGTCCGAATTGTGAGATAAAATAGGTTGGCTAAATGTAATGTAAAATGTTATAGGTTTAAATAGTATTTCATGCTTTAACTGTAGGGCTAATACAATATGTCTCCTATGTGAATATTATATAGCACTATTGTTTAAATCAAATGTATGCTTTAAAAGTAGGGTTATCGTAGCAGGTTTCATCCATAGTTTGTCCGTTTAAACATCTGCGTTTAGCTTCAAATGGCGTCTTTGATGACATTATTCTATAAAAATGATTTGCATTCTGATTCTGACATCCAAAAGCACAACAATAATTTTTTTCTCTTATTCCATGGATTTTACCCATTTCCTTCCACTTGTTTCCAGTGTTTTTCTGCCACCACAATGCAGCAGCAAGTGACGTAACTGTGACGTCTACTCCAAATCGGTCTATTCCTTAAATCTAACAGGAAACAAAACATATCATAAATAAGTGATCTCACGGCTGCCACTGAAACTGTTGCTGGGGTGCAGTTTGTTCCCTGGCTCACACAAACCAAATGTCTCTTCTCAGTGAATCAGAATAAACTTCAGACTCTCTCTCTGCGAGGATGTCCTGAAGTAGATGACTGGTTCCTTGCACGTCTTCATGTCTTTGGAGAAAGTCTGGTGGAGTTAGACCTGTCCCACTGCTCTCGAATCACTGTGGGAGGCCTCGCTGCATTACAGAACCTCAGGTCTTCAGGTTTGTTTGTTTTTTCTTTCAGGGCAAAAATTAAACACACATTGTATGTTTTTGAAAAACTCATATTCTGTGTTATTTTTTGTCCCCCCCTCCACCTTAAACGCTCAGAAATCTAAAGCAGTTGGACATTTCCAGACTTCCACAGCTGCAGAATCCAGGCCTGGTATGGATACTACTGGAGGAAATGCTGCCACACATGCCGGGTCACTGGAGCTGAATACGAGCAGGGCCTGATCCAGCCAGACAGCCAAGAGCAAACAGAGGACCATCATGAAGCTTCCATACACACTGGACTTAGACATCTATAAACAATGTTGCTGCTGACAGTGGAGCTCCTATATTATTGTTCATTATAATGCCGAAACATGTTATTTCAATAAAGTGCTGTGCTCATGCCTATGTTTCTGTTTTTACTATGTAAAATACATTGCATTTGATCATTGTTTTGAGACCGACACAATAAATATCCATGTTTAATATGCAAGTTGAGAACTTGTACTTAAACATGATTTATTAAATATAAACTATACTATGCTACCGATAAAAAAAATCCTGTAATCCTTTTTATGGAGGTGTGATGATATTAGATCTAAGTGTTAGAAAGACAGAGGAACATACGGAAGGTGGATGAAGAAATCTGACTTACGGTAATGTTTTTTCTTTATGCAAATATGTAAACAATTTACTTTCAATCAGAAAAGAAAAATTTGTCTTAAAATCTTGTGTTAATTTTTCTGACACTGTCGCATTAACATTGCCTTGAAAGACATGTTTTGTACAAATATAACAGTGCTTCCACCCGGAAGATTTGATCTACAAAGTGCAGACTCAGAAATATAACGTAGAAATCATATAGAATTGTGTATAAAGGCGATTTTCAGGAACATCTGAAATGGGCAGGCATTAGAGGCCCGGAAGTTGTCTCTAATTGGTCAGGTAAGATAAATATTCTTCCTGTGTTGATGTTTTTTTGTTTGTTTTTAACAAATAGTAAAATTGCTATCAAATTTTAAACGTGTCATTCAGGGGTAAGTTATGTGATCACTTAAGCGGCACGCCATTGTCATGCCATACTTGTTACTTTTCTCATCACTGTAAGGAAGGACCAATCACAGTCGTTTGTAATCGTTTGTAGTCTTTTTCTTTTTAAATTTTATAAACATTGCAAGGGCAGAATTTCATTTGTATGTCAGGTACCTATTCTTTACATGGATAAATTTAAACAAATAAGAGTATAGGTTTCTTCTGCAAGATAAAAATCGGCTGGAGATTTGAATGTGACTCGGTGGAGGATTCGGAGCCTGACTCTCATCCCACAAAAGAAGTACTGCATGATTGCTGGGAAAACGGAAGAAATTTAAAGGAAAACTTTGGTCGAATTGGAAACAATGCAGCAAAATAGTTAGAAGTGTTTAACTTGCGAATAAGCCCTACGGTAGTTTTTCCAGAGATTGCCCCTTGGAAGATTGCTTGGCCCGAGGTAGACTGGTTTGTGCTTAAGGAGAAAAAGAAAGCAAAGGAAGAAATTAATTTGAAAAATGTATTTAATGACCGAGTAGGATGTACACTCTTAAAAATAAAGGTGCTTCAAAAGGTTCTTCAAGCGATGCCATAGAAGAACCATTTTTGGTTCCACAAAGAACCATTCAGTCAAAGGTTCTTTAAAGAACCATCTCTTTCTTACCTTTTTATAATCTGAAGAACCTTCTTTTGCCACAAAGAACCTTTTGTGAAACAGAAAGGTTCTTCAGATGTTAAAGGTTCTTTATGGAACCATTTAGACAAAAAGGTTCTTCTATGGCATCGTGAAGCACCTTTATTTTTAAGAGTGTAATTATAGTGAATTCATACAGATGTATACAGATGGTGCTAAAAAACAGAGACAGGAAAAACAGGGTTTGGGGTGGCAATTCCGGGAAAAGAAATAGAAATTAGTAAAAGAACATCTAATAAATTAGGAGTATATACAGTAGAGATGATGGCAATTTTAATTGCTTTGCAATGGGTGGAAAGGGAAGGGCAGGGAAAGGTTTTCCTATGCTCTGACTCTTTATCAGTCTTAGCGAGTTTAAGGTCATTCCATTCAAAAGCTCGGCAAGATATCCTGTATGAAGTGCTTCAATTAAACACAAGAATAGTTCATAAGGGATATCAGGTAAGATTTATGTGGGCCCCAGCACATGTTGGGATCAGGGGTAATGAGATGGCAGACAGGCTGGCTAAAAGGGCACTAACAAAATAAATGATGTGACATGTGGCGACCCATACATGGAATTAGTGCTCTGCATTTATCCCATCCAAAGTGCACACACACAGCAGTGAACACACACCCGGAGCAGTGGGCAGCCATTTATGCTGCGGCGCCTGGGGAGCAGTGCCTTGCTCAAGGACACCTCAGTCGTGGTATTGAAGGTGGGAGAGAGCGCTGTACTCCCCCCACCTACAATCCCTGCCGGAACGAGACTTGAACCCACAACCCAGGTTATGAGTCCGACTCTCTAACCAATTAGGCCACGACTTCCCCTTAAAGATGATAGGGAAGCACGAGACAGGGTTGTGTGAGGGATGTCGAGGAGTCAGTGGAGCACATAATCATGACTTGTAAGAGATATGAAACACAGAGGCAGGTAATGAAGAATAAACTAAGGGAGATTGGGGTGCAGGAGATCACATTACAAGGGTTACTAAGCACAGTAAATAAAATAGGGCACAGAGTAGACTATTGATTACTTTTTTAAGGGAAGCAGGGGTTTTAAGCAGGATTTGATGTATGATTCCGCTCTCCTGGCACTGGTCTGTATGCCAATTTGCAGAAGTACAACCTGCCTTGCCCAGAGGCCATCTTTCAGATCGACTATTTCAAGGTCTGTTTGTGATTCTGAAGAAAAGCTGCAGCCTCATTATTTGTTATCTAAGAGGACACAAGCCACATTTTTCTTTGTCTCTTTCCAGAAACATCCGGAGCCCTTTTTTGCTCTTGCCAGAGAGCTCTACCCAGGACAGTTTAAGGTAATTTATGAATCTTTTCTGACATACATGGATCACTAATGAAATTCTGTTATGAATGAAATCAAACCGAGCCTTTTCCATATCCTTTTGACTTGAGTGGTCTAATTTCTGCAAATTAAAAAAAAAAATCAATATAAACAATATTGCAACATCAGAAATCAACAGCTGATTTGGCCTTGACAGCAGTGTGGAATAAGTCTGTTTTTTTTTAAATAAATAAATAAACAATCATCTGTAATTTATAGCATATAATATAAATAACTAACAAAAGATATGCATAATTACGTATAATGCATATTTAATTAAATGCTGGCAAACCTTCCACCTCGTTATGCCAAATTCCATTATATTACATGCTCTTCTTTGTCATGTCATGAGGTCGATAAGGCACCGCATACAAATAATGACACATGTATTGCTGTGTTTGACTCTTGCATGCTCTTCGGTTTCTTTAGCCCACAGTATGTCACTATTTCATGAGGATGCTGAAGGACAAAGGTCTACTGACTCGCTCTTACTCTCAGGTAAAAGAGTGTCAATTTAGTTATGAATGAAATCAAACCTGAGCCTTTTCCATATCCTTTTGACTTGAGTGGTTTCTGCAAATAAAAAAAAAAAATCAATATAAACAATATTGCAACATCAGAAATCAACAGCTGATTTGGCCTTGACAGCAGTGTGGAATAAGTCTGTTTTTTTTAAATAAATAAATAAACAATCATCTGTAATTTATAGCATATAATATACATAACTAACAAAAGATATGCATAATTACGTATAATGCATATTTAATGAAATGCTGGTAAACCTTCCACCTCGTTATGCCAAATTCCATTATATTACATGCTCTTCTTTGTCATGTCATGAGGTCGATAAGGCACCGCATACAAATAATGACACATGTATTGCTGTGTTTGACTCTTGCATGCTCTTCGGTTTCTTTAGCCCACAGTATGTCACTATTTCATGAGGATGCTGAAGGACAAAGGTCTACTGACTCGCTCTTACTCTCAGGTAAAAGAGTGTTTGTGTTATTATGCTAGTATGTATACATAATTATTTCATATTATACAATTATTATTGTTATTTTTTAAGAACATCGATACTTTTGGTCTTCTGAAATGATATAAGCTGAATGTGAGAAACAATCCCAAATGTATTATGTCATTCAATTGCTTTCATTGGTGACTACCCTCTACTTCTATAGTGATGATTTTAGCCTCTTTGTGGATGTATTTCCTCTCCTATTTTAGATATTGTGTTTTTTGGGGAGAATCTGCCTGCCCGATTCTTCACTTCCATGAAAATTGTGAGGATTCAGCCTATCTGTTAAGGTCAAAGTTCCTTTCCAGTCAGTCCACATTCTCAGTTTGACTGATACAATCTACTATACTATTCTACTGTTTACCGCAGGACTTTCCTCGATGTGACCTTCTCATCATAATGGGCACATCCCTGCAGGTTCAACCTTTTGCATCACTAGTCAGTAGGTAAGATTCTCACTAGGTAAAGCCCCGCTACATTTTTAGATTATTTCATATTTTCTGTGCTGATTCTGGAGGAAATGCTGTGGAATCGATGCAAATAAGGTAAGATTTTTTAAGGTAAAAGATCTGGACATTTTTTACTCTTTGAACTGCACTACCGGTCAATAGTTTGGGATCAGTAAGACTTATGTTTTTTAAAGAAGTCTCTTATGCTCATCAAGGCTGCATTTATTTGATCAAAAATACAGAAAAAAAGTAATCTTGCAAAATGTTATTACAATATAAAATAATGGTTTCTATTTGAATATCCTTTAAAATATAATTTATTTCTGTGATGCAAAGCTGAATTTTCATCAGCCATTACTCCAGTATAAAGTGTCACATGATCCTTCAGAAATCATTCTAATATGCTGATTTATTATTAGAATTATCAATGTTGGTAACAGTTGTGCTGCCAAATATTTTTTGGGAAACTGCGATACTTTTTTCAGGATTCTTTGATCAATAAAAAGTTAAAAAGAACAGCATCTATTCAAAATATAAATCGTTTCTAACAATATAAATATTGGCTATCACTTCTTAACAATTTAACACATCCTTGCTGAATAAAAATTCTAATTTCTTTCAAAAAAAGAAAGAATAAAAATTGACTGACCCCAAACTTTTGAACGATAGTGTATAATGTTAGAAAAGATTTCTATTTTAAATAAATGCTCTTCTTTTTAACTTTTTATTCATCAAAGAATCCTGAAAAAAAGTATCACAGGTTACAACAAAATATTAAGCAGCACAACAGTTTGCAGCACTGATAATAAATCAGCATATTAGAATGATTTCTGAAGGATCATGTGACACTGAAGACTGGTGTAATGATGCTGAAAATTCAGCTTTGCATCACAGGAATAAATTAGATTTTAATGTATATTAAAATAGAAAAACGTTATTTTACATCATAATAATATTTCACAATATAAATTTTTTTCCTGTATTTGTGATCAAATAAATGCAGCCTTGTTGAGCATAAGAAACTCCTGTAAAAAAACATTAAAAATCATTTTAAAACTTTTGATCGGTAAAATGTTTTGTAATCAGAGGAACTGTTATTTTGATCAAATGGCTACTGTTGCCGAGCAGAATCTATATGACTAAATCATGTCAAATAAATGCAGCAAAAAATCATGTTCTACACACCTTTTTCACTAAATGAAATACAAGAAATAATGATACTCAATTGTTTTTATTAATATTTACCACTTTAACAATACATAAAGTAGTAGTAAACAGCACAACATGAACATTTTTGAATGATGGTGCAAATAAATAGTTGAATCAGTGTTGTGAACTGATTTGCACAAATGAATCAAACTTAACAACCCCCTAATTGGCATTCGAAATATATGCTATTAAACATTTCCGTCCTGACATTTTCATACTCGAGGGTCATGATGACACAAGGACTGGTCTACTGGCACTTTCTGTTGGAGCTTGGCTGAATTAATGTGCATTAAATACTTGAAGAATTCAATTAAAATGAAAACGAATGATTTGATTTTTCCAGCAAATAATATTGAATGATTAATGTTTGAAGTTTGTGCAAGTCTGCACAAAATATTCAGGTCTGTAATTTTTTAATAACAAGTTGTTGTTTTTTTGTATCTCTGACTCAATCATTGTCTCGTCTGCAGAGTGTCAAACAGCTGTCCTAGACTGCTCATCAATATGGAGAAAACTGGACAGGTCTGTAATTGAATAAATGTATAATTATTATAAACATTTCAACAAAACAAATTCATTTTATAATTTAGTTTTTGCATTGTGTGTCTATCTCAAACAGTCAGAATTTGGCATGGGATTATTCGGTTTTGGAGGAGGAATGGATTTTGACTCAGACAAAGCCTACAGGTAAGGCCTCCAAGTATTGTCATGCTAAACGGTTAGGTTTCTTGAGGCAGGCATTGTGAATCTCTGGCCAAAAAAGAACACCAAAACTATTCAAACTGATCCTGAAATTATTTTAATAGGTATTGTATATGGGTCATTCTCTCGAAATTGTGCCATGTGTGTCCCCTTGACTAATTTATGATTATTTTTATCTGAAAATTATACAACACACGTGACTGTTTCTGTGAGTTTCCAAAGTACATGAATATGGGGCACATTGTTGGGTGTTTATTTTAGGTATCTAGCCGTAGCATTCTGAGAAAGCATCTTTCACACTTGTACAAGTCCCTCCAGAGCAGGGTTTCATAAACCCAGGTAAAAAGCAGTGCTAACCCCGCTTCTAAATTAGAATTGTAAAGCATTCCTCTACCTGAGGTTTAAAGCAGGGTTTATGATCATCATGATAACCTGTGGTTAAGTGCAGTGTGAAAAGCCCTATTATTAAAGTAATATTCAATCAATTTAATGCATCATAGGTGAATCAAATGATAAATTTCTTTCAAAAACATAAGAATGTCTTAAAGGGATCATATGATGTTGCTAAAAAGAACATTATTTTGTGTATTTGGTGTAATGCAATGTGTTTATGCGGTTTAAGATAAAAAAAAACACATTATTTTCCACATACTGTACATTATTGTTTCTTTCTGAAACTTGTCGATGTTTACAAAGCTCATCGGTCTGAAAAGCAAGGTGTGCTCTGATTGGCCAGCTATCCAGAGCGTTGTGATTGCCCGAATACCTCAAGCGTGTGACGGAAATGTTACGCCCCTTACCATATTGTGTTTCCATGTGTCCCGGCCGGAGCGAAGAGACAAAACTAATAGAACCCATTATAAACTAGGCATTTGTTGCATCCAGTGGGGAAATAATTACTGATTATAATGACTTATACTGTCTTTTTACGCGTTGCGTTGCATATCGCACCGCGTAAACATAAAACCATGTTGTGATCGGAGAAGCGACAAACAACAAGCAGTACTCTACACTGCTCAAAACTCGCGTTTGAATCATCAGTGGCAAATCCTTTAAATATGAAAACGTACTTACAGGCTGAGTCAGAAGTGCCAGACTGCCCTTGCAAAGTTGGAACTGCCCCACTTTATAGAAACAGCCTTTGTGCACAGCCTTCCCAAGATCAAGAAACAACAGTCCTCCGTAAAATGCGCTGCACACATCTGAATATTTAGGTTGAACTGTTCTAGAACAGTGTTGTAAATGCAACTTAACCACTGATTTCTAGTTGTGTCCTCTTTTGAATTGAATTGAATTGAATTTGAATGTATTGCCATTCGCACAGGTACAGTGTAGTACAGGTACATTGGAATTCTTGTGTGTTTCACAGAGTCAAGCTTTCAAAAAAAAATTTTAAAAGTCACATTTAAGGGAATAATGTGTCCTCTTTTGGAAGACCAAACAAAGTATTTTCGCTTTCGCAACGAAACACACAGCGCCTTCACGACATGGCGGCAGCAACAATACTACAGCGAGAATCAAAGTTACGCCTTCTTTCTTTGCGTGAACATTTGGGCGGTGTTATGCAAATCTTCCCACACAGTGACATAGACATGTGGGGGCGTGTTTAAACGAGGCGTTTTAGGAAGGCGTGGACGAGTCTTAACTTTTATAAAGAATATCTCTTTTGGTTTGAGACTTTAGTCTTTGCAACTTTAGGGATCTTATATATGCACGAACCGCTTGTAACACTCCAAAGAGAAAGGAAAACTTGAAATCACATCATATGACCCCTTTAATTATTTCTAAACTTTTAAAATGGCAGTTGGTGTGAATAAGCGTACAGTTGTTAATGGGGTTTGAAAAGAATGTATTGATTTTTATTGATCGTTCACAGAGATGTGGCTCACCTGAGCACCTGTGATGACGGCTGCATGGCTCTTGCCGAGCTGCTAGGCTGGAAAGTAAATACAGGCATATTCACACACAGATCTGACATGTTATTCATATACATGTTATATGTTATATCAGTAATATTTTGTTTCTTTCTTAAACTTATGTTTATTGCATGAGATGTCACCACTCTTGTTTCAGGAAGAGCTGGAACAGATGGTGAAGCGTGAACATGCTTTAATTGACAGCAGAGATGTCAAAAAGAAAGACAAGGAAGCCAATCAGAACTCCAAAAGCACTGGGGCGGAGGCTGGAAAGACTGACGAGACAGAATAACCAATCAGAGCATGAAGAGGGTTTACATGGCAGCCCTAATAGATCTACAGAATTTAACTCCACTTCTCAAAGTCAAGTCTGTCCTTCTTGAGTCTACAGTCGTAGACTTTATCACATCTTTCTGTTTCTCTGAGCTTCTGTGTCTCTCATCTGCCTGTAATAGCAATACAGATATTATAGAAATAGTACAGAAACCTCACAGAGCTCAGACAGGAACAGTGAGACAGACCGACAGCAAACACTCGCAGAAGCATGGTGTTATGCATGGGCCAGGAGATGGCTTTGATTAATAACAGTTTGTGAAACACAATTATGAAAATCAATGCTATAAATGTAATGTTTTAAAGCTGATAAGCATCACACTTACACTTTATGCTTTATCACATAATGTCTTGTTTTATCCTGCATAAAACAAAAGAGTTTGAAACCCACATTCTAATTACTGTAATGCACCTGCAAGTTTTTCTTTTTAGATCTTTTTGTAATTCTCATAATTGTGATTTTCTTAAAATTATTAAGTTAAATTAATTTACAGAAACATACAAAAGGATGTTCAACAGATTAACCATAATACTAATGATCAGTGTTGGGGGTAACGCATTACAAGTAACGCGAGTTACGTAATCAGATTACTTTTTTCAAGTAACTAGTAAAATAACGCATTACTTTTTTAATTTACAAGAAAATATCTGAGTTACTTTTTCAAAAAAGTAATGCCAGTTACTTTGTTTTCCCATTTATTGACTGACAAGTCTCCTGTCCCCATATTGGGAGAAATCGGAAGTGCAGAGGAGTTGTGTGCGCTGTGTAAACATGATGTTACTGTAGTTCTAGACTAAATGTGAATGTGCATTAATTCATCCCACTCACAAAAAAAAACTGATTTAGTATTCATCAAAATGAATTAAAACCGTGAAATGCAAACTCAGAATATGACGCAAACCTGCAATAATTAAATATGTTAAATAACACAAATGTATCTAATCCCATTTTATTAACCAATGTCTTTGCTGCTGACCTTTGATGATCTAATTCAACTGTACTAATAAGCAAAAATTACTTTAGATAAACTAACAATTGTGCTTCATTGTTTTTTTATTGCTGAAGAGTGTTTCTTCTCCTGCGTTCTACTGTACAGACGTGAATTTACTTTTGCTTCAGCCTGAGGTTTATTCATTACACTTTTTGGTGTTAAAGTGCTTTTACATTTGCTATAAATAGAACTTCTTCTATTAAAAACAATCAAGCCCTGCTCATCTTTAAAAAGTAACGCAAAAGTAATGTAATGCATTACTTTCCATAAAAAGTAACTAAGTAACGTAATTAGTTACTTTTTTAGGGAGTAACGCAATATTGTAATGCATTACTTTTAAAAGTAACTTTCCCCAACACTGCTAATGATGGTTTACGATCTTCTGTCTAAACTTGTCAATAAGATTATTTTCTTTGTGCAAACATTTGTAGATTTTAGTTTAATGTTATATTTTTAAAAGGATTAATGAATGTTTATTTTAATGAATTATTAATGATCTCTGCATTATATTAACTATTATAATACATTTTTGATGTTAATTCATTCTCTGTTGCTTATCTTTGGTTTGGAATGGATATCTACGCCTATGGCTCAGTTGTGTAAGAGGAAGTTGGCCTAACAGTGTTTTACAACATTACAAAATATGATACCAGATTGAGGCCAATGCAACCTTATGTGAGGAAACAAGAATGAAAGATGAAACCTTTGAAAGTTTTGTAATGTATGTATGCATGTGGTGTCATTTTTTTTGTCAAAAGGCATTGAAATAGTTATAAAAAAACGATAGTTATTAGCCATTCCAGTCATACTAAAATATAACTATAGTAACAGCTATGTTCCCCTAGTGGCTGTGTATACACAACACACACAGGCCACCTATTAACCTCAGTTTATATGCGAGGTCCATATTTTATTTTAAAACAATTTTATAGCATTTCTCACAAAATAAATATCTTGTTCGCATGCTATAATGGTTAAAACAACCTTTGTGATCGTTAAAACCAGATTATAGACAGCACTGAAATGTTACCTTTCTCAAACATTTATTTAAACCTTTTAATCTTAATACATGTTTTTAGAGATGGCTATGGGTTTGACCTTAATTTTATTGTAAGAGGAAATTCAGTGAGGAACAATGGTTAACGCTCTTCCCTTGAGCTCAATTATTAGCAGAACATGCTCTTATAAAAATAAAAGTGGATTAGTTTTTGGCATGCAACTGCTGGCTTGACTAAAATGAAACTGATCTGAACTGAGCTGCATGGTACTGTTACATATGAAAGTAACACGTATTTAGCTATAATCTTTCTGTTGTATGTGACATCCTACTTCTATCACTGTGTTCAAGTTTTCACTGTGAGGTTTACCACAACCATGAACGTGGGTGGAGCCACACACAAAAAGCATCAACGTACTGTCACACTTGTCTAAGCAGAAACTGAACTTTAATGTGACTGAAATTGATGCCTTGAACATTTCATAACGGGAGCAGAAGTGAATCTCACTGTAGGTGGCATGACAAGGTACAGGACAGATTCGTAATGAGGAGTGTCAATTACCCCACACAAACCTGCAGTGCGTGGAGGCATTTGGAGCAGCTTTCAGAGATGTTTTTTTTTTCCATCTAGGAGGACATTTTGAAGACACCACATGTGAGTTCAGCTCTGACTTCTGTTAGCATCATTACTCAACTTATTCTTGAGACATGAGACAAAATAGGCTATAGAAGTGGAAAAAAATAAAAGTTTGTAGCCGTAGTCGGTCAAGAAATTATGTTCAGAAGTGTTTACTGTAGGTTTTACATGGGAAAAACTCCTGCCTCTTCCATTTTCTACAGAACTGTAAAAACTGTACTGTTAGATTAAAAAAAATACACTACCATGAATAAAAGTATAATATAAATACTGATATTAAACATGGAGTATAATAAACAGAGAAGATGGGCCGTTTCGGTCAGCTCCTATTAATGACAACTGAATTGACAGTTCAAGGTGATGACAAAATAATTATATATTTTGCAAATGACACAAGTGTTAAATAAAGTAGTAGTGTTGGACAAATTACTGAAAAAAGTTATCCACTACAGAAACCCGAGACCAGAGACGAACATCTCAGTTATGTATGTAACCTTGGTTCCCTGAATAGGGAACAAGATGCTGCGATGACGTCATCGCTATGAGAATACCTCCGGTGTGACAAATGTCTGAAGCCCTTATAACATCACGCCAATTTACTGGCCAATAGCGCTTAGCACCGCCCAGAGCATACGTCACGTATGCTCATATATGCGTGCTGCGCGCTATTTCATCAGATTTTACACTATGACGAAGGAAGTTCTATCGAAGGTACGGAACGGCCAGCATCGCAGCAACTCGTTCCCTATTCAGGGAACCAAGGTTACATATGTAACCAAGATGTTCCCTCTCATAGGTTCACTTCAATGCTGCGATGACATCATCGCTATGGGAACGCTATACCACCTCCGGTGTGACAAATGTCTGAAGCCCTTATAACTGGCGTGATGCCAATTTACTGGCCAATAGCGCTTAGCACCGCCCAGAGCATACGTCACGTATGCTCATATATGCGTGCTGCGCGCTATTTCATCAGATTTTACACTATGACGAAGGAAGTTCTATCGAAGGTACGGAACGGCCAGCATCGCAGCAACTCGTTCCCTATTCAGGGAACCAAGGTTACATATGTAACCAAGATGTTCCCTCTCATAGGTTCACTTCAATGCTGCGATGACATCATCGCTATGGGAACGCTATACCATCACGCCTGACGTACCTAAGATAGCTGGAAGACAGAGGAAAGAGTCTGCTCAAGCGGAAGAGACCTGGGAGCCAAGAGCCATCCTCACGTCCAGACAAGTAGAACTTGATGAAAGTGTTAGGAGAGAACTAACCTGCCACAGCACAGACGTCTCACATCAAAGGCCATTTAAAGAGAGCCTGAGAAGAAGCCATTGCTCTCGTAGAATGAGCACGCACCTCTAGAGGTGAAGTCACACCACGCGCCTCATAGGCTAGAGGTATAGTCACTATCTGACCCCGCATAGAAGGGGAGAAAGCCTCCAACCACTTGCTGAAAGCGAAACGGAGTCAAAGCAGCCTTAGGATTAACTAGGCCTAGGAAGCAGTAAGACTTAACCAGCCTCGGGGCAAAGTTCATACAAGAGGAGCTGACAGAGCCTGCAGATCCTCAGTCCTCTAAGAGAGGATAGGATTACTAAAAAACTGCTTAAGGTTTCAAAGTTATCTGACAGACTTAAACAGCTCAAATGGATGGCCTGCCAGGCCTTCCAACCGAAAAATAAGTCCCAAAAAGGAATCTGTGCTGGGCGGAAAGGCCTAAGCCGTCTTGTCCCTGCTTGAAACGGGAAACCAGCAGATTGTGTCCACTTAAGGGCATACAGTGTCTCGTGCAGGGAGCCCTAGAATTAAGAATAGTGTCGGTAATCTCTGCCAAGAGACCGGAAAACATTACATCTCCGCTCAGGGGTCACACCCATTAGTTCCAAAAATCCTGATGGGGATGTCCAAATCATGCCCCAAACCTGAGTCAGCAGGTTGTGTCTGAGGGGAACCTCCCAAGGGAGCCGGCTAACAGACTGACCAATTCTGAGAACCACGTACGAGTGGGCCAAAACGGCACCACCAACAACAGACGTTCAATCTGAACAACCTTACATTGAACAGAATCGTTTGGGAGCAAACGGGTCGACAGGAAGGCATAAAAGTGGTCCTGGGTCATTCTTGGGCTAGAGTGTCCACACCCAGAGGCGATTGAGGAGACAAGGAAACCAGAGCGGGCAAAGCGCATGCTCTAAGCAAACAAATCCACTTCCGCTCGGCCAAACCTCTGCCATATGAGCCTCACCACCTGAGGGTGCAATCTCCATTCTCCAGCCTCCAAACTCTGTCTCAAGAGTAAGTCCACTCCCGAGTGACCCGGGACATGAACTGCTCTGATTGACAGGAACCTGGTCTGCGTCCCAAAGAAGAACGCATCTCACCAACCTGCACAGGGGGTGAGAGCGTAATCCTCTCTGACAATCCACGTATGAGACCACAGCCATGTTGTCAGTCCTTGACCTAATGTGACAACCACTCAATTGGGTAAGAACCGTTGGAGTGCCAGAAACGCTGCTCCAAACAGTTTGTGTGATTGAGCTAATATCAATATACCAATCAAGGTAACTCAAAACTCAGACACCTGTCACAACAGGGCCAAAGACGCATCCATTCACCTTGTGTTCGAGGCCAGTTCAATGGAATAATACAGTATTGGCAAGCTTTATTCCAAAAGCAAACCTGAGGAACTTCCTGTGTCTCTTGACGATCTGGATGCAGAAGTACGCATCCTTAGATCGATGGTCACAAACCAATCTCCGGTTCAGATAGAGACAGGATGAACTTCTGTGTCAGCATCTTGAAATTGCTTACTCCAAGCACAAGGTTAGGTGATGCAAATCCAATCCCCATAGAAGCTGGATGGTGTAACCATACGACAGCCTGATCCTCCCTCATGAGGCCCCGAGACACCTGAGTTGCGGGAAAAACCTCTGAAACAGGAACGGATACTAAAATCAG